ATCTATATATTTGGAAGTTAATTACTCTTCTTCCCTTTGGTTTTTCTTTCCCTTCCTTCTTCTTTCTGAAAAGCACAGGAATGTGAGAGAAAGTGGGTGACCATTGCAAGCAAACTGGAGCTGAAAACTTGTATCAGAATGTTCTGTCACTTGGACCTTGTGCAGGCCTATAATTTGAATGTGTGACTCTAGAAATGGTTGCTATGGCGATAAACCACTTTACTTAAATAGCATGTATTTTACTCAAAATTCAGAGAAATGGTAACAGTTTCTAGTAATCATGTACTGGTATTAACTTGCAGGGATATGCCTAGAGCTTACAGGTTTTGCATCCATTATCACCAGATGGGTTCATCAGGTTAAAGTTATGCCAGTGAATAATGAAATATGTATATTTAGCCCAATTTTCTTGTTACATATCTCCCCTTGCACACATGGAGCCCCTTTCCAAGATTAATAATATGAGCTGAAGAAATCAGGCCATGGGTGCTGAATTACTAAAAGATGAAACCGGAGGGAACCTTGTAAGGTCATCTTTTCCATCATTCCGCCTCCAGTAGGACTGACTATTCTTCAACCGTCCCAGGTGGAAAGAGCCTGTCAAAGATGAGGAACAATTGAAATGCTTCTTGGGGCCGCCCCTGGTATAACCATCTTGACTACAGCACAGAGCTGAGATCTTCCCCCTTGTGTGTTCTACAGATTGTGATTATATATGTCCTCTATTCTCTATATTTTTAGACTAAAGAGCTCTCTCTCGTAAAGAAACCTCCATCCATTAATCATATTAGTGACCTGTCTGTAAACCTTTCCTGGTTCCTTTATCTCTGTTCAAGCTGATTTGCAGTGTTTCAGGTATGAATTCTTCATGATTTTATGTAAGGATAAAGGATTTTTTTCTTTATTTCTAAAATGCTTTCTGATGATAGCTAGGTTTTCTTGATCACTGTGCAATGGTATGTTACCCTAGTATCTTCAGAGCACAATCTACAATGATTTGTAGATCCTTTTTGGACTGATAATGATGGCCAACAATCTCATAATGATCATTTAAACTCTTTTTCCCCTAGAACTGAATATTGAATTCCTCTCTCATCTTTCTCCTCTGTATAACAGGATGGGAGCTCATCACCTTCTATTTGCCTTTTATGACCTAGAAGATCTTAGTAATTCCTATAGCCTTGGTAATTTCACTTTTCATTTTTCTGTCACGTTACTCACAAAAGTGTAAAATTGCATCAGTGACAGCATAGATCCCTGAGGAATCCCCTCAACTGTGAGAGAAGAAAAAGAGAAACCTAAAATTTAGATAACCTATAACCTACAAAGGAAATCCCTGAAACATTAAGATTTTTTTATATTCCTAGAGAAAAGCCTGGAAGCTGGAATTTGCCTTGGCCATTTGTGTTCAAGGAAGTGAGTGGCTTGGCTCTTGGTGAAGAAAGCTACAGCTCAGTCTAAAGGACATCATGAGAGCCGGCCTGCATCCATGTCTTGTTAGCATCAGAGCACAGTTTCAAATATCAGAGGTGATATTTAAGAGGGGAGACTCAGAGGCTTCAGGAAAGCTCTTACAATTCTGATTCCTAAACAATGGCATTCTAAACTTAATGCAACTGCAAATTAGCAGGGAAATGGTAAAGTGTGCACATGTACACACACACACACACACACACACACACACACACCGTTTTACAAGGTGCACACATATACACAGAAGCTTCTAAGCATTTACAATAAACATCTGTATAAAGGTGAGTAGATTTGCATTGATATTACCAAGAAGTAAAGGGACAAGTATTGAGATTTGTTTCAGTGGAACCAGTTTTGGGCCAACTTGGAGTTCAAAGAAAACATGGTTGACTATATTAGTTTTAACATGTATTAAATACCAAATTGAAAAGGAAATAAAAAAACAGGGACTTATATGTCGCCGGTAAGAATATAAGTTGGTACAGAGGCACTGGAAAGCAATATGGCGATACCTTTCAAAATTACAAATCCATAGATGTTTTGACTCAGGAGTCCTGCTTCTAAAATGTATAGCCTGTAGATATACTTACACATGTACAAAATGGCACAAGTGCAATATTATTCACAGAAGCATTATTTGTACTAGGAAAAGTTTGGAAATGACCTGAATGTCCATTATGAAGGGGCTGGCTAAATAAATATTCAAACAAGAGAATACTGCAGAGCCAAAAAGAAGAATGAGAACTCTTTACATGTGGACGTGGAAGGATACTCAAAGTAATCATTAGTTGAAAAAAAATCAAGGTGTGAAAGAACACTTACAGTGAGCTACCATTTGGGTGAAAACAGGGAGAAGAAAGCATGTCAATATATGGATTAGACGGAACCATATGAAATTGCCATTATTAGGCTGTTTTGACCTGCAGAAATGACTACCAATTCAATTTGGTTCCACTTAATATTTGCTTGAAGATGCATGAACTCTCTGGAAGCATACACTGTAAATTGATAATATTGGTTGTCCCTGATGTGGGGCAGAGCAGAGTCAACTAGGGGGCAGGGAGAAGATTTTTAACACTGTGACTATTAAATCATGGGGTTGTACCACCTATTTTAAAAATACATCACTAAAATTAGATATAAATAAATAAAATAATGAAATGTTGCTGAGGAATATTTTCTCATCTTGCTCTAGAATGAAACAGAAATACCATATTTCTGCACTAAAGCAACCAAACATTCTGGTTTAGTTTTCTCTTTCTTTCCCCTTTGCCAGAAAATTCTGAGGATAATCTTAAGTTACCTTATCCAAGAAGAAAACACCAGAGCCTCTAATGCGTTTGGGAAAAAGAAAAAATCATCTACATCACTACACCTGCCAACAGAGACTGTCTCTGAGTATTTCTTTCTGGTGACTGCAACTTCTGAGTCTACTTTAATGACTCAAGTCCATTAACAAATGGAACCATGAAGAAGAATGGAAGTGTTGAGCTGCATATGAATATAAATACATTAAAAAGAAAATGGCTGAATCTGTGTTCCTATTCTGTAGAAGAGTAGTTGTAGTGGACGTGTTCAAAGACATTTCCTCAACTACTTGGATGATCACTCAAAAGGTGGAAAATCAAAAGAGTGAAGGTTACACTTAGATTCACCTTTTAATAGGATTAAACTTTCATGAATTGAAATTTCCAGGATAGGTTTCCTGTCTTTGGGATCAGTGCTATTCTAAACAACGCAGCTTCTCTCCGGCCGGTTACTGGAGCATTAGGGGAGTTCACCCTCACCATATTGCTGAACATGGGAGTTTTCAGTGAGAGGATACAATCTATGTTACGGAATGCTGATGCATTTTCAGTAGTTTCTATTTTGTGAAAGAATACACAGAGAAGCAATGTAGACATTTTCGTGGGTGAAACAAATCTATAGAGAAAAGGACTTTTTTACATTTCTAAATTTATACAAATTAATTTTTTTCAATGTACAAAATTACCAGCTCAAGAATTAGCAGACATGGTTAGGAAGTCCTACATGAGTGATGTTCTGAAGAGACACATATTTAAGGCCTGTCTGCAATAAGCAAATGTCAGGTAAATGTTCTCTTTCTTTAAATACAGGTACCAAAAATCGTAAATGACCCGAAGTTCTGCTGCTGCCCTGGGAGGTCACTTATTCATTGAACAAATATATATTAAGTGCCTACTACCGGGCATAAAACATGGCCATTTGTATCACAAGGGCCTGAGTGATCAAAGAAACACCAGGTTTATTTGTACAGTGTTACATGTAGTCTTTTCAGATTCTTTGAAAATTGTTAACCTGATTATTGATCCAGATGTAGAGTAACTTTGCGTTTGCCAGAGCGTTAAACTTACGAGCCCTTCCCAGACCATTTTGTGTCTGTGAGACCTGCTGTATCTATTCTCCCCTGTCTCATCCCCCACCTTGCTTGTGTCCCCTTCTCCTAATACGTTCTCTGCTCTTTTAGAACTCGGTGCTCAGCTTCATTTCATGAGGAGTGCTCACTTCTTTTTTGTTGTCATTGTTAAGTTTATTTATTTATTTATTTAGAGAATGCAAGTGGGGGAGGGGCAGAGAGGAAGAGAGAGAGAATCCCAAGCAGGCTGTGCACTGTCAGGGCGGAGACTGATGCGGGGCTCCACATGGAGTTCAAACTCAAGAACATTAAGATCATGACCTGAGCCAAAGTCAGAAGCTTAACCGACTGAGCCTCCATGGCGCCCAGAGAAGTGATTACTTATAAAATGGGTCTAAGGTTAAAATGGACTCTGCTTCCCTCATGACAGCAGAATCAGAGACTGTTTCCTTGACAGTGGGGTGGGGTGACCTGAGAAAACACAATTGCCTATTGAGACCCCTTTTTTTTGTTATGTGCCTTGAAGAAGTACTTTCATGGCCTCTATCTCAGTGCATTCTCATAATAAACCCATGTAGTAAACATGCAAATACGTTTTCCCCATTTACCCGTGAGGCATCGAGACTCCAAGAGGTCCGTGGACCTGCCCACGTGGTGTGACCGGGATTTGAAGCCAGGCTCCGGAGTGAGCACAGAGAATGGCGAGAGCGCGAGGAGTGGGCCATATGCAGCGACTGTCCCCAGGTCAGGAGGCATAGCTGTGCTGTGCTGTGCCTGTCAGGTCAGCCGTACACGTGCCAGGGCCGGCCTGGAATTCTGTAAAGATGAAATGAGTGTGGTTATGTCCTGGCCAACTTCCCTATGCAAATGTTGCCAGATGTTTACTTTTGTTTTGCATGGCAGAGGATCTGAAATTGTGCCTGTAGTTTGCACTACACCAAACCCTAAACAGTTCTGTTTTCCTGAAAGTGCTAAAGGAACTTACTTGGGCATTTAATAACAGCCCTACAATGGGATTAGTTTCTATCTCCCCTCTGGAGAGTGCTCCGCCTTGCAAATCCTGGGCAACTTTGTAGTCCCTTGCTTCTTTGAATTGATAGATATTGCCTCGTGTCTGAAAAGTAATCCAGGCCTTTCCCTTTATTTCCAGTCCACTGCTTATGCAAAGAAATTTCCTGTGACCAGTAAGAAGGAAAATGCAGACAACTCGGACTCGAAGCATGCAAGTTCTGCATGTAGCAGAAACTTTCCAGCCGGACTCAAGGGAGAACCAGAGAAATCCCCCATGACATCAAGCCAAGGACCAGCAACCAAATACATTGCTAAATCCAATGCCGTGCCTAGAACCAAAAAGAAACTCTAAGGTTCCCTTCACAGGTGAATAGTACAAACACAGAGCTGCTCTTTCTAGCGCTAAAGTGAGGAGACGGGAGGGGGAAAGGACAGGACTATGTCGAGCTTTTAGTCTTTTAGCCCCGCTGAGCCCTGCCATGTGTTTGCACCAGTTTAACCTCGGAGCTAGGGATCTTCAAGGCAGCCTAGTGTTAAGAACAGCCACCAACAGGCTTGATGGCGAGCTGTGGCTGCAGTTAACTCGAGATTTTTGAGAGTTGTTTAGAGGAGCACGCGCCCTCAAAGCAAGGTGGTGGGCATACGTGCTCAGTTTTACTTCACATTCTTGTATTTGGGCACAATTATTTGTAGGAGAAAATGAGAGCCAAATATGGTGATGGAGGTCCCAAATAATTATGTGCACTTTGCACTAGGAGATTTTGTTAGGAAATTACTAATAAACTTGCCATAGGCATAACAGCAGAAGTGCTTCAGCCATTCACATGTGTTCTTGTGATTTTAGGTTGGTGTAGATTATTTAAGACAACTTATTTTAAATGTAGAAGAATAGGAGATTTTTGTAACTGCTTGCCATTAAGTTGCTGCTAAATTCCCAATATATTGATTGAATCAATAAAAGACAGATGTCACCCATGCACGTTAATTTTTATGTTAACGAGAGGTGGATATAAAAGGTCCTCTAAGCCCTTATGCAAATTATGAGTTTGGCCTGCTTCTGCAAAGGTAGGCACATATCTTTGGGGAAGGTCACGAAGTGGATACAGGGGAAAATACATCATTACTCTTGGTGTTACAAGTATCTCCTTTCCACCCCAGGGAAATTGTTGTGCCTTTCGAGGTCAAACTGGGTGAGTAGATGCTTTGCTTGGCCTTCCAAACAAATTCTAAGGAAACAATCTGCATTTGCTTTTACTTGTATAAAGTAATACTCTAGTTTCACTCCACCTCTCCCGATGGGATTGTCTTAGACCTCCAAAATGAGCCTGCTGAGCATGTACTTAGTTGCATATAAATCCACTCAGTGGCTAATGGTAATAGAAGTACTTCTTGTGATTAATTTGGAAGACACTGTTGTACTTATGAGTGGGTCAAAGGTAGCACTAACATGCGTTGTCCCTGGCTAGCTCTGTCAGGACCTTCTTAGTACCTACAGTGTGCTTCCCCTGAGGGAATCTGCCAGCTAAAGTGGACCTGGTTTAAATTGTCTAGACTTTATTTTAGAACTGGAGTTGGCATAGCTTCTTCAAGGTCTTTCTCCCTTACTGATTATTACTTCCAGTCCTATCAGGAGTCCAGAAACCATCTCCTGAGCTGTAAGCCTCCTCCCAGGAGGTAGTGAGCCAATCTTTGAGGAGTATGTCCTGTTTGCCTGCTGAGAAGCCTGGCCTCAGATTTCCCTTCCTCGGTGGTGCTCTTAAAGGCAGGGGTAATAGCAGCCTGCTGATCTCCTTGCAGAAAAGCCAGCTGAGATGGTGGCTTAGATTCTGTCCATCCCCTAAGGCTGAAAATGGAATATTCCCTGTATGTAAAATGCTCTTACTTCCATAGTGATACAGTCTTTTGTATCACATATTAGAGAATTCTGATGTTAAATTTAATATTATCCAAATTTCTGTCCACATTGCTCTTCAGCCTTAAATTAGTAATTCTACTCAGTAAGCTTGACCAAAGGTCCAGAACTAAGCATTCAGTGAAAGGTGAAGTCATTTAATAGCTTTTATTGTGTTTGCATCTTTGCCCTCCCCAGCCCCACGCCAGGTTGACTGTCCTTCCCACCGTAAAAATCATTCTATCAGCTTTCATCTATCTAGGCCTTCGTTTTATTTATATAGAATCATTTTGATAGAAGCTGAGCTCACTCTTTCTAAGGGGAATTTTCACATTATTTGTATTTGTTATTTATTTGTGTGTAACCCCTGGACCAGGCCAGGTCTGAGCTTTTTGCCCCAACGACTGTACCTCTTTACTATCTGGGCCTTGCTCTCTTCATTTGCTTTCATGGCTGTGGAAAAAAAGTAGCTCTTCTGTTTTAGAATGGTTTTCGGTGACTGAGAGGCCAGCTCCAAGGCACTGGTAACCATCACTCTGACACCTCGTATGCACTGCATGGAGAGATGGGCTTGCAGGACCCAGAGGGACACCGGGACAGTACAGAGCAGGCGTAATTGCCAAGGCATGCACATGCTGATTACGCTCCAACTTGAATAACAGACAAGTCGAGGCAGGAGATAAAATTGATAAATGCAGGCTTGGGGCCGAGGAGAGGTTCAGCTGAGGAGAACAGAAGATGCTATCAGAAAAGGGCTTAAATCAGAGGAGAAAGAGAGATGGGTTGGGGGGAAGGGAGCAGAAAGAAGACAAAGTATAATGACTAAAGAAGACTGGATGACAACACATGTTTCTGCCAAACTTGGAACAGGAGTCAGAGGAGGGAAGCGCTGCAGAGTCCTGGCTCCAGGCCCGTCTGAGGTAAACCTCGCCCTCCCTGGCCTGTGCCCGGGCACACCCGGATGAAGACTCAGGCTGCAGAATCAAAGACCGGGGAAACAGAGGCTGAGGGAGGATGCGATGTAGGCCACAGAACAGCCCTTACCCTCTGAGAGTAGGAATGTTCTGTGGTATTGGGAGGGGAAAGAAGAAGAAGAAAAAACCCCAAAACATTTTGTGCTTATCACTGAAATGCTTTGTTTAAATAATTCTATTTGACTCAAAATGTAAGTTCCAGGTTAGACACATCAAAAGCAGCCAGTCTTGAAAATGAAGCTTTTTAAATTCCAGCCCTGCTGTTGGAATAGAGAGAATAAAGGCTTTGTTCAAACATGCATTCCCAGCAGTAAGCAGAGCTTTGAAATTGGCCACGGAGGTTGTGTCCTATAATGGTTGCACTTGGCTGGAGACCAAGAAGCTGTGGCCTCTGGGAAACGACCCTGAGCTGGCTGTTTTCCATGTGCCCCTCCAGAGCCACTCTGCCCTGCTCTGCCCTCTCCACTCCGAGAGACTGATCTTTAGGGACTGCATGAACAGTCTCCCTGGGCCTCTTGATATGTTGGGCTTCTGTCAGTGGGAGTCACCAATAGGACATTGGCTAGGAAAGCCGAGGGCCAGTCATCGATTCCCCCACGGCCTTCCATACTGGGCTGCTGGGAAGTCACCATATTCTCATTCTGCAGGCCTCAGCACCTGCTGGCAGCCCCTCCAGGCCAAGACCAGGGGCTATTGCCCTGGGTACTGTGTCTTCCTTTGTGGGTTTCCCTAACTCTCTCAGTACCTTTATAAATAGTCTCTTTGTTGAACTCGCACCTACCCCATTTGAGTGCACCATCTGTCTCTTCCTGGGACCCAGAGTGATCCGGACCCTTTCTTGTCAGTTCTGCATTGTTCTTTGACCTGGGGCAGTTTTGTCTGTGATTGCTGACCTCCTACTGAATAGCAGTAAAGTGAAGAGCAAAAAGCCTAAATGAGTTCTTCCTGAAGCAAACTGGTGCACCTGGGTGGTCACTAGCTAGGGTTGAGGGAGGCGATGGCAGAGGAAATTTCCCAGAGTTGGACCTAGCCAGAGCAAAATACATCGAGCATTACCCAACTGGATCTGAAATTGTCTGGACCCTGAACGTTCACATTTAGGTCTTACATTCCAGTCGCGGCTTTTGGAGCCTAAAGAACCTGTGGGATGCCTGGGTGGCTCAGTCCGTTAAGTGTCCGACTCTTGGTTTTGGATCAGGCCATGATCTCACTGTTTGCGAGTTCGAGCCCTGCCTTCGGCTCTGTGCTGGCACATGGAGCCTGCTTGGGATTCTCTCTCTCCCTCTCTCTCTGCCCCTCCCCAACTCATGTTCTCTCATTCTTTCAAAATAAAAAAAAAAAAAAGAAAAAGAAAAACATTCTTTGAAAAGCAAGCAAGCAAGCAATCAACACTTGTAACAGCCAAGGGTTCCCCTAGCCTGGGACACTGTCTCCCAGCTGGACTGGAGGGCCTGGCAGAGGCTTCCACTGGGGAGCCTATGGCGGCCAGGAAGCATAGGCAGCCTGCAGACAAGCCTTCTCCCCGGGCCGTGTGTTTCATCTCTGCAAGTGCTAACATCACTTTACAAAGCATTTTCAAGTAACATTTTCCCTCTTCAAAGACCTCACATAGTTCAGCTTTACTCTTCAGGACCCTGTATTTTTCTGAGGGAGCTGGCTTAGAATTGGTTTTGATTTCTGTGCACTGCATTGTTATCACTTAATTCCCATTGGTGAGCCAATCTTCTTTGCTTTTGTTCTTCAAAGGAAGGCCACGTTCAGTGTCTGTCTGACATTTTTGTGGCTTCCTTCCTCAGTTGCTGGTATAATCAGCTCCACTCGGTTCCCTGTGTGGCAGGTCTTCAGTTTCCCTAAGTTATCCGGAGCAGCCCTCAGCAGAGCGGTAGGGACTGCTACTACCGGCCCAGTGGCCTCACCTCAAGCAGCAGGGCACTCGTGACGGTGGGACAAGAGGAAGACATTGCAGTGTCACCGCTGGCTAGCTCAGGGACAGCCCTGTCTGTTGCCTGGTGCCATCCCAGATGTCTTAGGTGGACCCGGTGAACCCAGGGTGAAGACCTCAGAGGGCTTCGTCCCCGAAACGTGCAACTGTTCCTGGCCTGGCCCAGAGGACAGGGCCACCACGCAGGGCAGCCCCGCCCCCCTCTCCTGAGGGATTCTGGAGCACCTTCAGATCATTCCTATCCTCGGCGCTGAGACAGAGATTACACACAGTTCCCCACCCTTGGGGGACTGGGACACAGTCTTTGACTCTCTCACCCGGGACAGCCTCTGCGGACAAGATCCTGACACCAAGCTGTCGTTTCGAAGAGGTTTTCCTCATCAGCACAGGAAGTGATCTCCATCCCCGGGCGGTTGCAAGGTCCCAGAGTCAGCATTTCCAGTGCGACCCAAGGGCAGGGCAGGTGGAAGACGGCCAACGGGCACCTTCCCTGGACCCTGAGGAAGAAGCCCTCTCGTGGAGGTGGCAACCAGTATTTCCTGGTG